AGCGTCGGGAAAGATCAAAGAAAGATAGAAAACAAACTTGTTACAGTCTTGTTACTACAATACCAAAAGGTATAATCTTGTAACAAATTATAACAAACAATTTGTTTTACAACAGTGTTTTGTCATACAGTGTAGACGCAGCTTAACAACTGCTTCAACCACGCTTACATTATCGCTGTGCGTCCACTACAACCCCACGCGAAATCCTCTCTTGTCAATCATCAAGCAGAGCCACGCACATACTTACATACACTCCCCTCGTGAATCTTAATCTCTGGTACTCGTAGCTCCGCGATTTGCCTTTCTACAGACAATTTATCGAAATCGCCCTGTCCCTCCCCAGCGTGAGCATAGAGCTTCTTTAACGCACACTTTCGACGACCCCTTGCGACTTTAATGACCACGAGCACACCGGCGCATTTGTTTGAACGTACTCGTGCGGCTCGAGTGGAGAACGCCAACTGTCGATACTCGAGACTCTACCCGGATAACCAATTCATGCCCCCCTAACCACCTCCCGCCCCTCATGGTCACCTTTGTATGTCCTTTTTCCTCGAGTCCTTCTCCTTTGCCAGCCGGTGCACGCGTTAGCCTAACTCTGTCACGATTATACAGGATGTCCACTAAATTATTAGGTCGTTGCACACGAAACGGAGGATTCATAAATAAAACTTTAAACTTGCAATTTTATTTGGTTTGTCACCTAAACAAATTGAAAGTTTAGAGGATCTAATGCACCGTAGTGAACACAGTTTAGTATCTATTTCAGTATTTTAGTTCATAATTCTGCTTTGATGCGTTCTTCGATTATTATTAAATAGCTGTTTTTTCACAGAAAAACCTGTTTTATGTTACCCTGTTCATTTTCCCGTTACAACGTCCAATGAACCATAAGTATAAATTATACTATTTTAATATTTATACAATAGATTCGTGTAATATTTAGCAATATTTTCTTGATATGTGAGTTTTTAGACGCATTTGAAATCCATCCATTTTTTTTCATATTTAGTATCGTATCATATATAGTATCGGGGCCTTCATACCCAAATAGGAACCTCGAAGGGAGAATAGAGAGGGAGTGGTTGGCGGAGCGCGCAAAGCCTCGGCTTTTTTAACCGAAGGGCCC